TACACTTTTCGTATAATATTTTTATTAAAAGTTCTTCATAATTACCAAAACGCCACCGCGTTTTTCACTTAAAATTTGATCTCTTCCATCCTTTTTTTCATATCAATGACCAAAATTAGTTCTTATTTTTCACCTAGGAAGCACTTTTTTTTATCCATACTCTATATAGGCATATATTAATTTTGTGTATACACAATATGTGATTAATTATATTATATACTCCCTCCGTCCCAAAATCGTTGGCCAATGTTGACTTGCACGTGGATTAATAAAGTAAAAACTGTGTGGTTAAAATTTGTGCAGAGGAGAGAGAATTAACTTTAGCCACATATTCCTTACTTTAAATGGAAATGGCCAACCTTTTTGGGACGGCCAAAAAAGGAAATTTGGCCAACTATTTTGGGACGGAGGGAGTATATTAAAGGGAAAATCGCATTTTCAGTCCCTCAAATAGTCACCATATTGAAATGTTAGCCTTGTATTCCCAAGTTTGTAAATGTCACCCCTTAATTGTCCAAATTGATGTAAATGTGGTCCTTTTAGGTCTGAAATGTACTCCTCGCCCACATTGTACATTTCACCCCTAAAGGACCACATTTACCACGATTTGGACAATTGAGGGGTGACATTTACAAACTTGGGAATTCGGGTCTGACATTTTAATATGGTGACTATTAATGGGACTAAAAGTGCGATTTTCCGTATAATAAACTGTTAGAAAAGTGATATTAAAATGCGAGTTTAACCAGATAAAAATCCCGAGTTTAAACAAATCACCAGACAAACCGCCAAATGCAAGAATGAAATAATAATAACAATAATTAGAATAAAGTAAATTGAATGAAGAAAAGGGATAAGAAAACTTATCGCAGGATCGCCCGTAAAAACGGACTGGCCTTGAAGAAAGATAGCCCCCGTATCCCGATAGCTATTCGGACGGGTCTGGCTAGCTCGCTCCCAGGATAATCCTACCACGTTTCAGACTTATAGCTACCTTGACTGAAACCTTCGACCGTTGCCAAATTTGCCGATGGATAGAGTTAACTCAAAACAATGTATGAAAGTTAAGACCAAGAATTATGAATTCTTTTGGAAAGCAAAAGAAATACGGATGAAATTCAAGGTCAAAAAGTGGTAGAGAAGGTATGTTCGTATATCACTATCAAGACTTGTGTTTTGCTCTTACGTATGAATGGTGCTGCTTTCATTTGAAAAGATGACCAGCCCTTATAATGATATGCATATACATAAAGTATACTACGTAACATTAATGAGGGACAACCATGCAGGGAGTGTTTCAACGGAAATCAAATACATCGTAATAAACCATGAGAGTAAACGGCATAACGTATCCATTTTGAATGATCTCGTTAATAGCATTTAGGATAATTATTTTGAATTTAAATTCAAATTAAAAATCCTATCAGCTATCATATTTTATTGTTCACACATTTAGAGAGTCTCGTGAATTACGACATCAATTCCATCACCTGGCATACAAGCGAAATTAGAATGTCACATCACTTTATATGATACTTGAACAATGTTCCTTATCATACAATGATTATAAATAATCATACAAGATAATTCATCCTCTAATATGGAACAAATAAATTCGTTGTTTTAATACATCACTTTACAATCTTTACAACTATGGATTCTAATTATAATTTAAATCCAAATATGTAAGTTGTGCTTTGATGTATTTTCAGCCTCCTCTCCATATTTAATACAATCATACTTTAGGACACAAAATAGTGACCCTCAAAATAATGTTTATATCATCATATTTCCAACAATCCCCCACAAATCCATAGTTGTAGACTCAACTCTAAGACATAGTGTGCTTTCGAATAATGGTACCTTCCGGTTTGAACCAAATTCTAAGCTCATACCCCTAACCCCCACAGGAACTAAGTGAACAGAGTTCTTGAACTTGAACCTTGATTGTGTTGGCATGGGATAAGAGCGACACACTAACGGCAATGGCAACGATCTATAGGGGTGACGCTTTTACGGCCATGCGTCCTGATCCTGTCTCAAGAATGTCATCGAGAATTAACCCTTATTCTCTTATTGCGGCCACACAAAAACATTCTCATAGTTGGGCATCTCCAAGAGTGCATTGCTAACACTCTGCTATTAAAGCTCGATCCCATTCAGAGTCTTAAACTCTTACTAACTTAGCAACTTCAACATCTCTAAGGCTTTTCAAGGAATAGAACTCATAGAATTATTTTAGTGAGATGTACAATTCACCCTACGGTTTGTTTACACCACATTGAACCTACTTTATGGGATCTCCACTCAGGTAGGTTGGGTTGCTACCGTAGATGAATAATTATTGGGTTTCAGTCCCATTCCTAACCTTGATTTTATCACTTGATTTAAATCAAGTCCTTTTGTTAACGGGTCCGCTGTATTATCTTTGGATCCAACAAAATCAACAGCAAACACCCCTTGTGACACAAATTTCCTTATAGTTTTTAATCTAACTTGAATGTGTCTCCTAGTCTTTTGATTATACTTGGTACTCCTAATTTTTGCAATTGTACTCATACTATCACAATGCAAACAAATAGGTGGAATTGGCTTGCTGAATATAGGTAACTCGGACATTAGTCCCTTAAACCATTCAGCCATAATTCCTGTAGTATCCAACGCACATAATTCAGCCTCAAAAGTAGACCGAGAAAGTACAGTTTGTTTAGTGGACTTCCAAGCAACAGCCCCACCACCAAACGTAAACACATACCCGGTACACCCATAACTCCCGGAGTTTTTAGCTATCCAGCTTGCATCACTATATCCTTCAAGAACAGGAGGATATTTACCATAATGCAAACCCAAGGAAATAGTTCCTTTCAAGTATCTGAATACTCTATCTAAAGCCTCCCAATGAGTTCTGTTTGGACAGCAAGTGTACCGACTAAGTTTAGACACTGAAAATGCAATATCAGGTCTAGTACAGTTAGCTAAGTAACCCAAGCTACCAATCATCTGAGAATATTTTAATTGAGACACAGGAACACCACTTTCATTTTTATACAAAGCTACAGAAGGATCATAGGGTGTTTTAGCAATTCTACTATTTTTAAATCCAAATTTCTCAATTAATTTTTCAATATAATGAGACTGAGAAATAGAAATGCCTTCGGTTGATCTAGTCAACTTTAGCCCAAGAATTACTTCTGCCACCCCCATATCCTTCATTTCAAACTTTGTTTTCAAAAATGACTTAGTCTCAAAAATAATATTATCATTAGTGCCAAATAATAATATATCATCAACATATAGGCATAAAATAATACTTATATCACCTTTCCATTTATAATAAACACTTTGATCAGCATCTATAAGAGTAAATCCAAACGAAGAAATTATTTTATCAAATTTTTCGTTCCATTGCTTAGGGGCTTGCTTAAGTCCATATAATGACTTAACTAATTTACAAACTTTTCTCTCATTGCCTTTTGCCACAAATCCCTCAGGCTGATCCATATAAATTTCTTCTTCAAGGTCTCCATGAAGAAAAGCTGTCTTAACATCCATTTGATGAATTTTAAGACCATATACGGAGGCCAATGCTATAAGCATTCTTATTGTGGTCATTCTTGCAACAGGAGCATATGTATCGAAAAAATCAATACCTTCCTTTTGTTTATAACCCTTAGCAACTAATCTGGCCTTATATTTATCAATGGTTCCATCTGGTTTTAACTTCTTTTTAAAAATCCATTTACATCCAATAGTGGTACAACCAGGAGGAAGGTCGACGAGCTCCCATGTTCCGTTTTGAACAATAGAGTCCATTTCACTTTTAATGGCATCCTTCCAATACATGGCCTCAGACGTGGCCATTGCATCTCTAAAGGAAATTGGATCACCCTCAATATTGTAAGTGATAAAATCACTTCCAAAATCCTTAGTGATCCTAGCTCGTTTGCTCCTCCTAGGCTCATCTATATCAATTGATTCAAAATCAATATGACTAGAACTACTAGATTCTACCCCCACATTTGTCATCTTTTCCACTTGATCAGGAATTGAATTAAATGTAGTTTCTTGATTTTCAAAAGAAGTATTTTGGGACACACCTGTTTTCATTGGAAAAACATCTTCAAAGAAAGTAGCATCACGAAATTCTACAATAGTATTGACATCTATGCCAGAAATTTCAGATTTAATAACCAAAAATCTCATTGCATAAGAATGTTCAACATAACCAATAAAAATAGCATCAACAGTTTTAGGCCCAAGTTTCTTTCTTTTGTGTTCAGGGACTAATACTTTTGCAAGACAGCCCCATACTTTAAAATATTTCAAACTTGGTTTTCTGCCTGTCAAGAGTTCAAATGGACACTTATCTTTATGTTTCATGGGAATCCTATTCAAAATATGGCATGCCGTATTCAAGGCTTCCCCCCACATAAATTTAGATAATCCAGAATTCTCTAATAAACTGTTAATCATATCTTTAAAAGTTCTATTTTTCCGTTCAGCTACTCCATTTGATTGTGGTGAATAAGGAGGTGTTTCCTCATGTACTATACCATATTTTTGGCATTCCAGTACAACTAAATTAGAAGTATACTCTCCTCCCCTATCAGACCTTAACCTTTTAATTTTCTTGCCAGTTTGATTCTCTATTTCATTCTTAAAAATTAAGAATTTTTCAAGAGCTTCATCTTTACCCTTAAGTAGATACACATAACAGTATTTAGAATAATCGTCAATAAAAGTGATAAAGTATTTTTTCTTATCACGTGTAAGCACTCCATTAAACTCACAAATGTCGGTATGAACTAAATCAAGTAATTCTGAATTTCTATCAATTGAATGATATGGTTTTCTTACTTGTTTAGTAGTAGCACATACCATACATTTCTTAGTTTTATCAATAGAGTGCTTAGGAATTAAATTTAAATTCATCATTCTTTTCACAGAATCTAAATTAACGTGACCCAAACGATAATGCCATAAAGTTGAAGAATCACAATTCTCAGATACATAATTTAATTCTAAATAATCAACCATAACTTTAAAAAGTCCATCAGACAAGTAACCCTTGCCAATAAAAGTTCCACCAAATAAAATTACAACTTTATTTAATTTAAAAGACAGTTCATAACCCTCCCTAACTAGAATGGAACCACTAACAATGTTCCTTCTAATTTCGGGAACGTGGTGCACTCCATGCAAAGATAGAATTTTTCCCGAAGGGAATTTTATTTCTACTTTTCCAATTCCTTGCACACTTGCAGCACTTGTGTTCCCCATCATCACTGTTCTTCCAACCGCAGGCTGATAAGAAACAAAGAGCGATTTATCAGCACATACATGCACATTCGCTCCTGTATCTATTAGCCACTCATTGGAATTATAAATAGTGAAAATTTGAGGATTAATAGAAACGTACCCATTAGAACTATTCCCTCCAGTCACCATGTTGACTTGAGGTCCCCCAGATTGAGCCTTGGCCTTTTTATTTGGACATAATTTTGCCCAATGCCCCATCTGTCCACAGTTCCAGCATGGTCGGTTTGCCTTTGGTTTCTTTGCAATTTTTAATTTGGCCTTTATTGGTTTAAAAGATGATGGTTGCTTATTTTTAGAGTTATGTGCTTGCTTTCCCCCAGTTATAACATGAGCCTTCGGTTGAAATTCAACAGGCGCAATATAACCCGCTTTCTTATGTTCCTCCTCAACCGTAATGGAATGCATCAAAGATTTCCAAGTGATCTTTTCCATTTTATGTTTTAAAGTCATACCAAAATCTTCCCATGATTTGGGAAATTTTTCTATGACCGCCATCACTTTAAATTTTTCAGGCAATTCCATGTCTGCTTCACGAAGAGAATGTAAGATAAGCTCAAATTCTTGTGTCTGTTCTAAAACCGATTTTCCTTCTTTCATGTCAAATCGTAGGAATTTAGAAACAATATATTTTTCAAGACCGTGGTCATCAGTATTATATTTTCTATCTAACTCATCCCAAAGGTCTTTGGCCGTCCCATGGAGGGTACAATAGACATCAAATAACATGTCGGATAAACCCATGAGAATCATGCCTTTTGCAATTTCGTCCCTCTCAAGCCAAAGTCCATGACGTTCAAGACTTTTGGGATCAGATTCGACAACCGGAGGACACACCGTCATAATCACTGAAAGCAAGCCCTTGGTGATTAACCAAATTTTCATGCGTTGTTGCCAACGCTTGAAAAAATGCCCAGAAAATTTTTCGGGCATTCCGGTTAAATCCACCCTGTGCGAGCCCGTAGCAATATATTCAGGTGTGCCTTGTGAATTAGTGACAGACACAGAATTATCATTTTCAGGGGCGACAAAAACATGCTCTAAACCAACAGTTTCAGTGTTAACAGCATTTTCCAAGTTTGCCATTTTTGGATTTTCCAAAACTCGAGAAATAATATCTTTCTTCAAGATTGTTAGAAAAGTGATATTAAAATGCGAGTTTAACCAGATAAAAATCCCGAGTTTAAACAAATCACCAGACAAACCGCCAAATGCAAGAATGAAATAATAATAACAATAATTAGAATAAAGTAAATTGAATGAAGAAAAGGGATAAGAAAACTTATCGCAGGATCGCCCGTAAAAACGGACTGGCCTTGAAGAAAGATAGCCCCCGTATCCCGATAGCTATTCGGACGGGTCTGGCTAGCTCGCTCCCAGGATAATCCTACCACGTTTCAGACTTATAGCTACCTTGACTGAAACCTTCGACCGTTGCCAAATTTGCCGATGGATAGAGTTAACTCAAAACAATGTATGAAAGTTAAGACCAAGAATTATGAATTCTTTTGGAAAGCAAAAGAAATACGGATGAAATTCAAGGTCAAAAAGTGGTAGAGAAGGTATGTTCGTATATCACTATCAAGACTTGTGTTTTGCTCTTACGTATGAATGGTGCTGCTTTCATTTGAAAAGATGACCAGCCCTTATAATGATATGCATATACATAAAGTATACTACGTAACATTAATGAGGGACAACCATGCAGGGAGTGTTTCAACGGAAATCAAATACATCGTAATAAACCATGAGAGTAAACGGCATAACGTATCCATTTTGAATGATCTCGTTAATAGCATTTAGGATAATTATTTTGAATTTAAATTCAAATTAAAAATCCTATCAGCTATCATATTTTATTGTTCACACATTTAGAGAGTCTCGTGAATTACGACATCAATTCCATCACCTGGCATACAAGCGAAATTAGAATGTCACATCACTTTATATGATACTTGAACAATGTTCCTTATCATACAATGATTATAAATAATCATACAAGATAATTCATCCTCTAATATGGAACAAATAAATTCGTTGTTTTAATACATCACTTTACAATCTTTACAACTATGGATTCTAATTATAATTTAAATCCAAATATGTAAGTTGTGCTTTGATGTATTTTCAGCCTCCTCTCCATATTTAATACAATCATACTTTAGGACACAAAATAGTGACCCTCAAAATAATGTTTATATCATCATATTTCCAACATAAACATCCATTTAGCATTGAGTTACGAAATTGGCACAACGGCGGATGGCTTGATAGTCTAGATAAACAGTGTGGGTTCATTTCCCACCGACCTAAGGGCCTTTCATTTTTGTTAGTGTCATTTTACTTTTCAAAACTTATCCCTAGTTTGCTTAGTTTTGAATATTTTTGTTGTTGTAGCTCAATCTTTTCTTTCATTTTTTTGTTAGGTTCATTTTGACACTTTAAACTTGCCCCAATTTTACTACATTCAGAATACCTCTGTCGGTCTAGTCTTAATCTTTTCTTTTATTTAGTATAGAAATTACTGACACTTTAAACTAAAAATTTCTAAATGTACAAATTATATGATTAATATATATCTTACTTGTATTATAAATGTGATTTAATGTCAACAATAAAAAATATTTCTTAAAAGATACGTGAAATATTTTTTAGATGAAATGAAAAGTAAAATATGTCGTGTTTTTTATTTAAGAGTTGACACTTATAGTCATTTTTGTAATATCACTTTCATAATATAATCAATTATTTGTGAAATGCATATGATAATAATCTTCATAATGTTATTTTGCCCCCTCTCAACGAAAATCCTGGATACGCCACTGCTGGCTCCAGCCCTAGAAGTTAAATAGCTTTTGCTAGAGTGCTATTTGCTGTTAGTTTGAACTTTTGGGGTTACTTCCATTCTCCAAAGCTATTATTGTATACTCTTCACTGTTTTTTGTTTATTATTTATTCCTATTTTACCAGAATCCAAGGTTATACAAAAAAGATTCAAACTTGACCAGATAAAGATTCTTACCCAATGTTGTTGCTTTTAGGGTTACCCCCATCTCCAAAACCATCGCTAGTATTTAGTGCAATGATGCATCACTTCAAATACCCTTATATTTCCCACTAGATTACATTTTCCCCTTTTATTGCATTGCAACGATAACCTCCATAGGCATCAAGCCATATCAATCTAGTCGAAACAAAAAACACCCATGTAATTATAGTGAAATATTTTATAAAGAAAAATGATAATTCATACTTGTAAACCTTACAGCAAGATAAATAGTCTCTTGTTCCGTTGAAATACACTGTTGATACAAGAAAAGCATTTTTGTTATTTTCCCTGAATATTGAATATATGATGTCTTACCCTCAATTAAGAAATACTTTATCATGGTATATAACAGTTAGCAGTCATGGAGGATAGTTTTAATTTCTCTCGGTTTACTGAGTAATAAGAACATCAAAGTCAGTAACAGTCCACTCCGCCTCTTGGTTAGGATCTTTAAATATTTCTGTTCCTAAATCAATTGATGTCCATTCTCTTATAGATGGTCCTGTTCCTGGATCCTGCACCAAAATAACAGTGTGTATAATTTAATAGTATTAAATGTTTTTTTTGCATGCAATTATAACATCTTTTGGTTAGGCCCCTAAATTTTGTTGTTGGTCTCCCTTCCAACACATGTTGTTTTCTTTTTAATCCAAATCTTACTCTCGAACAATCTCTATTTTGAAAAACTATTAATACCACTCACATAACTCATCTCTAAACTTTTCTTGTAAAGCTTGTATGACTTTTTAGGGACTATCAGAGGAATTAAAGCTAAGAAAAATTAACCATTCATGTCTTTAAGATAAGCTATCTGAAAATAAAATTGTGAAAAAGCATGACATAAATCATGTGTTAGTAATATATGTAGTATGTTGGACAGAGGTTGCTAGAGTTATCGAGAAAATAAAATGAAAAATAGTGCAAATTAGAGGGACGAAAAATTGTGGGACCTAATACAAAAAAATATATTTGTACATATGAACTAAATACAAGTACATATTTAAGCCTAATAGTATTCATTTCCTTTTATTATTGGCATCAAATAGTATCAATTGTTTTTTGTTGCTATGTTTTAGTTACCTGGTAAAAGTAAAGGGAATGAGATAGTCCACCAACATCAAGGTCCCATGTTCTTGAATCTCCGATCCACCCCTCGCCTTTCTTGGTAGGGTAACCATAGTCACCCCAAACTGGATGAGGCAGAAGCTGCAAAATCTCCTGAGGCTGAGGATTACTGTATGGATCACAAGGAACATAAGGGATCTCGATATTCTCCCCGTTCCCCGGTGAGCAATACATGTGATATGCCCCATAGGGAAAATGGGCTGTGTTGCTTCGGTGAACTCTGGTTCCGTTGGGGAATGTGTGATATGGAGGACACATCTTTAGGTTAGCGGCATTGCACTTTGATGGTGTTTCTGGATTTAGTATCATTTCATTGTACCGTGTGACGTCTGATGTTACATCTCCGTCACATGGCTTGCCATTGTTCTTCCAACAGCTCCCAATGTCCAGCAAATAGAATTGGCTATTTGGACCTCCTCCCTTGATCACGTCCAGGGTGAATCTCACCTTGAAGTTTGGCGATTTTGGGATCTGGATCCATGTAACGATAAATCACCCAACATTGAGTAAATATGACTAATGTAGAGTTAACTAATGAGAAATATAACATTGAAATATAAATAAAAATGTTCTTTTCCTTTAATTTTACTAAGATAAAATTCATTGACAAAAATATGGATACATGGTCACTAGTCACTACTAACATTATGAAAATACCATCATGTGTGCTAAATTAAACATGGCTATAGTCACTACTATGGTCACTGTGAAAATACCATTCTGGTCACTGCATTTTAGAATTCATTTTTTGTTTATTTTTTATAAAAATAATATATTTGTCATTTCATAATAAATGGACAAAACTAAAAAGGGTGACTTTTTATTGGGAAGTGACCATAGTTCTATTTTCATCACGACTGTTGGAGTCATGGTGACCCTCCATTTTACTGTGTAGTGATTGTAACGTTCTTTGTTACTACAGTGACCAAGTAACTATAATTTTGTCCATAAATTTTATTTTTATAGAAAAATCCACATGTAGAATTCCTAATCTAGGAATTTACTCACAATTTTTAACATGCCTCTAGTTGGATAGTGGTACCCACCCGAGAATCCGGTTGTGGCGTCTGCCCTTAGATAGAGCATCAACCATGGATATTTTGTAGAGGTCCTTAGAAAATGGTGGAAAGTCCAACTTCCCTTTCCAACTTCTTTTTCCCACTTCACAGAATAAAACGAGTTCTTTCTAGTTTTTCCGAAACTGGAATTCAAATCCCATGTTCCGTAAAAGCTTCCTTTGAGCATTGTTCTATTAGTCCCTTCTGAACTTGTGTAGTTGTGATAAATCAGAGGTTGATTCATGCAGCCTTTGCCAAAGCAAGGGAAGTTTTTATCAGGCCCAAATGGCTTTGATTTTCGGCCGTTTTTGGGGCACTTTGCTGCTTTGGTGTCCATATTGCCATTCTTTAGCATGATCATCCAGAACTGCCATGGTCTTGGTATGTCCTCCACTTGACATTTGTAGCCTAAGTAGAGTTCTTTCTGTGAAGCATAAAGGTCTGGGTTGGACATTGCTTCTTGTCTCAAACCAGGAAACGAACGACCAATTCCTAGCTTGTTATCCTCCTCTGTCACTTTATGGACTAACATGTATGGGACTTGATTGCAGAAAGAGCAGCGCAGTTATTGTATATCCCAAATACACCTGGTATTCTACTATTCTTACACTCTCTATCCCAAAATGTTCTTCCATTTACTTTTACATGTTATACAGAAAGGTAAAATCATTATAAACCAAACAATTCTTTGCTTAAAAGAAAATAATAACTTTTTTTAGATGACCAAACAGAAATGCATGAAAAACATTTTGGGAAAGAGGGGACATAATGAACATGTTTTAGTATGATACCAAGATTATAGTCATCTTTTTTAGATGACAAAAAAGAAATGCCTGAAAAACATTTTGGGAAAGAGGGGACATAATAAACATGCTTTACGATCATATCAAGATTATAGTCATCCTGACTTTCATTTGCATCAATTGGGCTTCTAATGTTTTCACTTGTATACAGTGGCAGAACTAGAAAGTTTTTTAAGCGGGGGCACATTTTAATGTAAACCATCACATTAATAATGTCATTATCTTAACAAACCACACCAATAAAATACAACAAATTTAGTCAAAAGTGTTGACGTAATAGTTCTATATCCAACCTACAGATACTCATGTTAATGCATCCAAAGTCCAAACATGTCTCTTTTTACGTAAGAGACTAAATAATCATTATCTAGCATATAGGTTTAGCTCAAACAGAAACATTTCAAGAACTAGCACCCAAGTTTATCGGTGCCTTTAATCCGGTAGAAATATTTCTCAATTGACATTCCTTAGTGATAATTATCGAAAACAAAAAAAAATTGATTCAAACTATCGTAAATTCATAATTTCATACCAATAATACATTAATACATAATCATTAGATTTAATTCAAACTATTTACATAATTATGAATTGTAAAAATTCAATAATGAAATACCTAATATTTAATTTAATTAAAAGGGAAAAAAATCTCATATTAAAAAGGCAAAACCGGCAAACGGAAAGCCTATCGGACAAGTCAACGGACTACGAATGGCGGACGGCGGGACAAGACCGGGCGGCGGACGGCTCCAAGAGGCCTGGCGGCTTGACTCTGCCACTTCGCTGCATGCCTGCTTGCGCCCAGGGAAGGATCTCCCTAACTGCGTTTGGGCAGCTTAACTGGTTGAGGGCTTTGGTCTTTCCTTAATTTGGGCTGTTGAGTGTTAGGCCTGCCTTGGCCCGATCGGCTTTTAGCTTTTATTTTCCATAGCTTCAAACGACGTCGTTGGACTTAAAAAGAAAACTTGCGCACTTCACTTAGAGGCCGTTTGGCAGCTCTGTTTTTTGGCTTATCAGGCTTATCAGCCAACTTTTTCACCAAACACGTAATTTTTACTTTCGCGCGCTGAATTGTGTAATAAGCAGAAAAAGTAAGGTTGGAGTTACTTTTCTGGCTGTTTTGGCTGAAGTTACTGTAGATGATCATTTTAGCTATTTTTATATATAATTTTTTCTTTATTTTATTAATAAAATATATTTTAAAAATAATTGTTTCTTAAATCAGCAGAATCAGCCAATGCAGCCACTTCAGCCAGAACTTCAGAAATTTCAGCAGAAACAGCCAAAACAGCCGATTTGCGTGCTACCAAACGGGCTCTTAATCAATCGTCCCTGTGCAGCGCTATCCTCCAGAAGCAAACCCGGCCGTCCAAGCTTGCCGGAAAGAATGGAACGGACCAGTCCGGCAGCCCCATCAACCCCTACATATACCCTATCTCGTACGTTCTAAGCAGGGGCACCGGCCCCCCTGGCCCCCCTGGCAGATCCGCCCGTGCTTGTATACAACTTGGTCCCTCCTCCGCATACCATAGCCATCCAAATTTTAAGAGATGGATAGTTAGTTGCACAGGCTTGGCCTCCAATCAATTTGGAACTGGTGTGAGCTTTGATTATCTCTGAAATTTCTCTACATGATGGCAGTGATGATTATGATGAAGAACTTGACTAGTTAATTTTTAACTGTTACATGTTTGTGCCTTGTTAGCCCCCATGGCTCCTATGTTAAGTTATGTTCTTCCGGTTGAATATAAAAATACACACACACATAAAGTCTTAGACTACTTATCCAACCATGTAACATTTAATATGCACCTTCAAATCTTGATATCTTATTGGATTGATGTTTTGATCGACGGGCTCAGGTGTGCATATGTCAAACCATTAGGATTCAATTGATGCAGTTAGGATGAAAGGCGCACAATCTTGATACTTTAGGTGCAAAAGTGCAATTCTTAAGACCAAAAGAATGAGATTATTCATATTCATAATAAACATCATAATTCATAAGCATAAGAACATATAGACCTTGTGGCTGAAATGGTGAATCTTTATATAGATCAAAGCAATCAGCAGCCCTGGGGCTTCCCATTTTGGCAACATCTTCTCCAACCTCATTGCATTGATTCCATGCCTCTATTGCCAATCTCAGCTCATCCCTTTTCATCCCCGGATCACCGACGGCTGAGATGTATTCATCCTCACCGCCTCTGACGGAGGAAACCTTTGAATAAATCACGTTGATTAGAAGGAGATGAAGAACATAAAAACGTACAAATCTATGATGTGCCATTATCCATTTCAGGTTTGAGATCATGCTGCATGAAATGGATTTTCAATAATTCATTCCCTTTAATTGATTAAATAATGCATGTGAGCGTCATTATCAAATATCAATCTCAATGAGAAGGGGAAAAAATTAAATATGCTAATTGTACGAGTGTATTAAATAAATTTATAATAATAATAAATTACTCTAAAGGACAACCGTTAAGTAAGGGAGTAGTTAATTGACTTGCCTTGTTACGGTAGTCGGTAGGATTTCACAAGCTGCGAAGCTGACTAGATAAGTAATATAAAAAAAAATAAGTACAAAAATACAATTTTTAATGCCCATAAACAATTTTTAAATAATTGGGTCTTGTTCGTTTACATGCACATAAACAATTTTTAAAACTTTTGTATTCTTTAACCAAACAACACTCGGTCAGGATACTTATTAATAAATTTTTCAAACTCAATTATATATGAGGAATTTTAACCTCTTATGATTTTTTCTTTTAGACTGAAATTTGTTGGTCTGGTCTGATCTAGTCTGGTCTAGGCTGAACTGGTCTAATCTGGTCTGATAAATGTCTGGTTTTTATGTATTTTATAACTATGGAAGTCTGGTCTAGAAAAAGAAAACATCCTTACATGCTTTTAAGTTGTACGGAGTATAGCACCATATCATATGTTTTGTTAGTGACAATAGATTGACTTCACTTTTATGAACACATAACTTTTCACCATTAATATATTTAATTAGCTATAACACTACAAAAAAAACGCGGGATTGGCACGGAATTTGGCACGGACTTGTCAATTTTCGTGCCAAATAGCTCGTGCCAAAGTGTTTTTGGCACGGATTTGGCGTATCCCTGCCAAAATTCGTGCCAAATCCGTGCCAAAATCCCTGCCAATCCCGTGTTTTTTTTTTGTAGTGTAATAAGAATTGTAAACATCATATATGAAAATTACACCGAATAGATACATATTTCATACAATAATTATTTAATACATTAATAAAATATAACAAAAAGAAAGTAGAATATCCAGTTGCGTATCCACTGTGGGGGCAGCTGCCCCCTCAACCCCACCCAGTCGCTATATATTAATCTAAAATTTGTAGAAAATTGCTCAAAATAGGAGTTTAAGGTAGGAACAATTATAAAATAGGATTAAGAGTGTTTTTTTTCCTAAATATAAGATTTATATAGTCCTATTAAAAGAATAAAAAAGGATTAAAAAATCACTAACTTTTGTAATGTTTAACTTTCATTTAGGTAATTTTCTCAAATTTATCAACAATTTCATCTTTGCATTTAGATCATTTAAATTGATCTTTTTATACATATTTTTACATTTATTTATAACTTAAAGTAAGTCAAATAAAATAATATTAATAATGTAATCTCCTATTTATGAAATACTATATTACTACGTATGTGATTAAGGGGATGTCCCCAACTATGACTTTAATGGATTTTAAATGATTGTGGATTTTGAAATCCAAGGAGAGTCTACAAGATTGTGGTGAAATATTTTTGTATATAGAAATCCATCAAAATCCATTAAAGATCTTGAAATCCAAGGAGAGTCTACAAGATTGCTGAAATATTTAATAATCCCTACCAATTTATTTTCTTTTATTATATAGAAATCCATCAAAATCCATCAAAACAATATTGTATACTTATTTTCATTTTACTTGTTGTATTTATTTTGGCTAGCCATATCTCTCGGCTTGATATGATGGATATTATTCTGGCCGAGCCAATTCAGCCAAACACAAATAGTTGAAGAAGTCATCTTCTCTTAACTGAGACTGGACCGAGACTCAAGTGTGTGTTTAGTAACAAGGGCATGATAGGAATTATGAAAATTATGTGTGTGTGATTAGTAAAAGAGGGGTTGTGGATAGAATTTCCCTTTAGCTTGTAACATGGGTGGTTTCCAAATTGCGGGCTAAAAATGAAGATTTCATTTGATTATATCACATTAAGTGACTCGAGCTAGGATAATGACGTTTCTTGATGAAAGACTTGTTGATTAATTCTAATTTGAGATGACCACAAACAAGTTAGAGATGGTTATGCATGCATATACTCATACTCGTTCCATGGGTAATTCCTCTTTCTTGAAACCGCTCTGCTTTCCAACAAGTAATTATATTTATATCCACACTATAACTGCACCAACAAGTGAGAGTATAATTGCGCGTATACCTAAATGTCATTGATACTTTAGTAAAAAATTAATACTCTAAAAGGCGGTAAATAGAGCCACCTAGGCGGTGCTAGATGAATTTAATACTCTAAAAGGCGGTAAATAGAGCCGCCTAGGCGGTGCTGGATGAGAGACACCACTTAAAAATCTTGTTTACTCAGAAGTGAAAAGAGGTGGTGGCCCGAATTAATTGAAGCGTAAGCACTTAGATAAATAAAAAATAAAAAATCAAGAAAAAATCGATAATAATCAAACTGGACTCTTTAAAACCATTACCCAAGCAAAAGATGTGGATTATACTTGCTTTCATTATATTGTAGTGGTGATAATACGTACACAGTTGAAATAAGGTAATCTCATATTTTCCAATCTTATACAAATAACATGAAAGAATGAAATCAAAATACAATTAAAAGAGAGGACACAGAGTCCCGAAGGAATTATGGATACATATATATATGTGCATCCTCAAATGAAAAACAAGGTTTTCTTGGAACCAAAATACAGAATTTAAAATAAACAATTTTTTGTGTGCACGAAATTTGTACATATTTCACATACATTTGTTCGTAGTTGTCTGTATACACAAACAATGTTGCACGAGTTACTTGTGTACGGTGCAACTAAGGGTGTACACATTATCTATGAACACAAACAATTATACACAAATGTGTGCGTAATGTATACAAATAAAATTTCTCAAAACAAATCAGAAAAAGTCAAAAGAGAATATGATGTACTTCGTATCTCGTTTCCCTGTGGAGGGGTTTTGATTGTTTTCCCTTAGGTTTGTCTAGGAACAAGAACATTAAAGTCACTAACACTCCATTCGGCCACTTGGCGAGGGTCATTAAATATTTCAGTTCCCAAATCAATTGATGTCCAGTTCCTAGTAACATTGACCGCACCTGGATCCTGCACCACAAATTCACAACCATGATATTTTGCATACTCCCTCCGTTTCTAAAAGAAAGTCACGGTTTGACTTCACGATTATTAAGGAAATAAATTGACTTTACTGTAGAAAACACTGTTTAGACACTGTTTGGCATTGTTTGGACACTGTTTGACACTGTTTGGCACTGTTTGGCACTGTTTGGCACTGTTTGGATGTAGATTTCTTTGCCAAATAAGGAAATAAGGGAAGTGTGACTTTTATTTTGGCACATCCAAAAAAGGAAAGTGTGAGGTTCTTTTAGAAACTGAGGGAGTATTTATTTTAGTTCAAACAGTAAAATTCGGAATTTTATCGTAGAACAATAACCAACCAAGCGATGACAGACAAAAGCGTGGCTAGCTTAGGATGTTTTTATTTTCGGTCTTAACCCATAACAAAACAAACCAGATTAAACTTAAATAGATCAGATTAAACGAGATTAGACTTAAACAGACCAAATCAGTTCAGAGTTCAGACTAAACCAGACCAAACCAGTTCAGTCTAAACCAAACCATTTTAGAAAATATGAGTCGAATTAAAAACATCCTTAGTCAGTGTCCGTCTGAGTGAGCGCAAAGACTACCTACATACCTGGTAAAAATAGAGGTTATGTGACAATCGGCCAACATCAAGGTTCCATGTTCTTGGATCATCAATCCATCCCTCACCTTGCTTGGTAGGGTACCCATATTCACCCCAAACAGGATGGGGCAAAAGTTGCACAATCTCCTGAGGCTGGGGATTGCTGTAGGGGTCACATTTGGCTTTGTCGTCAATACCCTCTGCATTCCCGGGTGCACAGTAGTAGTGGTACGCATCATACGGAAAATTGGCAGTGTCATTGCGGTAAACTGTTGTTCCATTAGGGAAGGTGTGATACAAAGGGCAGCCTAAGAATGTATTCCGATCACACCACGATTTCGTGGCGGGGTTGAGGATCATTTCGCTATACCTCGTTACATCCGATGTCACATTCCCGTCACATGGCATCCCGTTGTTCTTCCAACAGCTCCCAATGTCCAGCAAGTAGAATTGGCTTTTACTACCTCCTCCGTGGTAAACGGCCAGGCTGAATGTCACGTTGAAATTTGGCGATTGTGGAATCTAAAATACAAAAAATGCACATATCAAAGTAGTAGTCTCGCCCAGGCCAGGTCATAGTTTTGTGTTAGTTCGTATTGCTCAAAATGATTAATGATTAATGTACGTAAAAGGGCTTAACAATATGTTCTAGGAGATGAGATTATCGATATCATATCGATGATCGAAGTAAATTGTATCGATGCAAAAAGATGTAGAAATCATGTATGTAGATCTTATGAACTACGGAGTATATATTAAACTTTGTACGTAGAAACTTTATAGAGATTATATGACTTATATTAGTGATAGAACTGAGGAAGCGGTCCAGTCTAGCTGGTCGCCGACTCACTCTCCCTTACGGGTCCCGGTTCAATTCTCAGTGGAGTGAGATTGAACCCAGTTTACCCCAGGCCCCCCAAACCCCCCTCCCCTAACGATCTATTGTAAAGAAAGTCTTGCATATCTGTCGATCTATTAGGTTGAACCTCGTCTCTTAACAAGATCATATTATTGAAGAAAGAAAGAATGCATGAATGTACTTACAATCTTTAACATGCCCCGAGTGGGATAGTGATACCCGCCCGAGGATCCAGCGGTGGCGTCGGCCCTTAGATAAAGCATGAGCCACTGAAAGTTTTGTGAAGTCCTCAAAATATTATAGAAAGTCCAACTTCCCTTTCCGACATCTTTCCGCCACATTACGGAAAAGAAGGAGGCGTTGTCGCCCGACATATTCCCTTTTACCCCTCCCACAGAGGAACTCAAATCCCATGTACCGTAAAAGCTGCCCATGAGGGAACTATTAGGCCCTGGTGAGAGAGCTGTGTAACTGTGGTTAATCCGGGGCTGATTCATGCACCCTTCTCCAAAGCAAGAGAATTTAGGCTCTCTAAATGGAGGTACTTTTATGCCATTTTTGGGGCACTTTGCTGTGGGACCGGTGGTGGTGTCCAAGTTGCCATTCTTGAGCATGATCATCCAGAACTGCCATGGTTTTGCATCATTTTCTTTCACTTCACACTTTGAGCCCAAGTAGATCTCTTTCTCATAAGCATAAATGTCTGGGTTGTACAGATCTTTGGGATCCAACTGGGGAAGAGCTTGCCCAATTCCTAGCATATTATCACGTTCTTTCACTTTGTGCTTCAAATTGTAAAGAGAACAGTTTTTCATTTCTGCAACACCAAAATATCACCTTCAATAAAAAAAACTGCATATATCTGCTCTCTGCCAAGCAAAGATCGATCCTAGCTAGCTAGAACATACGTTCGAATACTTCTAAGCATAATTATTTTTGAGAAGCTTGATCTCCTGCCTCACTGCTCGACCGCCTCGACGCGCGTGGACAACAGGATATACGACAGAAATACGATTTTTGATATGCCGTGGTTGTAGTAATAATCTTTAATGACTATATTTACGTACAATTTTATCATTTTATGCTACAATGATAGATCATGGATACACTCATATTAATTTTAATTATATTTTTGTTCGTTCATAACTGTTATTTCACTAGCATTGCATTTTAGGAAAACTATCTGAATATATTGTTAATGATGAAATATTGATATTATAAATTTATAATTGTAAGTTATATGGAGTATAAACCAGACAAGACAAAACCAGACCAGCAAATTACAGTCCAAGTAAATACATTCTTACTTATTCTATCAAGTTAACCTCTTAGGATGGAATATCGTATTTTATTAACATAGTATTAGAGCCAAATTGATCCATGTTATGGGCCCCTTTATAAAAAATGATTGACACGATTAAAAAAATAACAATACCAAAACGATGAAAAAAATGAATTTTGTCACGATCTAGACGAATTGTCTGATCAATGATGAGAGGTGATGAGAGGTGCTGAATTTCACACCAAATATTTGTGAATAAATTAAGTGTGACAGTTAAGATCTAAATTATTCATTCTATCAGGATCTAATAGGAACGAATCCAAATCTTAACCATTTTTTTAAGTAGGTTTGAGCTACCCAAATAAAAGTAAAAGACGTACCAGATTTGTTAAAAACTAATTGAAAATACAAACCAAAAGAAAACAAAGAGAAACCAACGAATCAAGAAAGAACAACATAACGTAAATTACGTAACTAAAAAGAAAATACAATTGTATCATTAAAAAAATCAATAACAAAACTGACTTTAGGGTTGTATATGAACATAATCGAACCATATAATTGAACTCATAATTCATTTATATTCATATAAATATAAATAACGGATTATTCGTACTTACATTTGTATAATATAATAGTCGAATCTTATTTTACATTCATATTCATTTCAAGCCATTTGTTGTTTTTACAAGAATATTATTAAAATAAAACTTATTTACATAAATATGATTATTCATTTGATGGATAGTCTACCCGGGGGGTATCTTATCCGAGGGGTTATCGCGGGAATAACTTAGAGAGAAGTCCGAGCAAATAGGAGGAGAGAGAGTCGATTTTATTAAATGAACTCGAGATGTGGAGGTGAGATGTAGATCGTGTTTTACAAGGAGAAATGGGCTGCTATTTATAGCAGCAATAAATGCGATGAGGGGACACGTGTCAGTAATCCAACGGCCGAAGGGTCACATCAGCCGGTTGGCACCGGCAGTGGTACGTTCACCGCATTGAATGCGGTTGGCGGATGTGACGTGGCATTAAATGCGGTGGTTGGCTGTCTCCAAAAGGAATCTTCGATGATTGAGCATGCTTGGCCGAAGGCTTCTGGTGTAGCCGAGGGCTCCGTGTAACCGAGGACCCCTGTGTAGCCGAAGGCCTTGTGTGACCGAAGGCTTTGTTCAGCCGAAGGCCTCTCTGATGCCGAGGGCTCGATAATACCGAAGGCTCATGTTTTTCGCCGTTTTCTCCCAGTAGCTTCTTATGCTAGAGAAGGCTATCCTGTGAGTTTTGGAGCCTTCGGCCAAGGAGGCCGAAGGCACCCCAGTGTGTGTTCTGGGTTACTTTGAGGCTCGGGCCGTTGCATTTGGGCCTGAGTTGTTCTCTGGGCTCAATGGACTTGTGTAGGAGAAGTAGGAGTCCATGGGCCGGGGGTTCCCGGGCCATATACTCCATCAGGAGTCCCTCACTCCTTTTGCCGAAAGGTACTTGAGGGAAAAGGAGTAGATGTGTTGGTTCTTCCGGAGGCTGCATCATTCCGTTGGGTGCCTTTGTTGGAGAACTCGTCTTCTGCTGATTGCCGAAGGCTTCCCCCAGTCCCTCACATGCCGAGGGTTTTCTGAAGGAAGTATAACGTTTGTATGAATGCCGGAGCCTCTCCTCAGTCCCTCACATGTCGAGGGTTTTCTGAGGGAGGCGTAAATAATATCTGTATGTGTTGTGATGAGGGCTGCCTCATTTTTGTCAGTGACTGTGGAAAATTTCTGACATTTTGCTTTGCCGAAGGGTGTAATGGTGTACGCACCCGAGGGATGCATGTGTCATTTGTAGGTTTCTTGTATGTGGCACATTTTCATTTTTAGTCGGGTGTGTTTCCCGAGGGGTGTGTCCCAGTCCCCCACTCCTTTAGGCCGAAGGCAAGTTCGGGGTGAAGGAGTTATGATGTGTTGGTGGAACCCGTTGTCTGAGGGCTGCGGAGAGTGATAACCGGAGGCTATCATTCGAGGGCATCCCAGTGTTGTCGAAGTATAGTGGTTGTAATATAGCCGTTGGAAAAGAGCCGTTGGAGGGGGGTTCCACGTGGCGTGATTCAGTTGGCGGGTGCCACCCATTGGTTGAACCGGCGGCGTGTAATGATGGGCTTTCGAGTTGAGGCCCAGTTCTCGAGGCCCATCTGCCTATAAATACCCCAAGGCAGAGCTCAGTCCTCCTTGTGCGTTCATAAACTCTAGCGAAGCTCTGCCGAATTTTCTAGAGAGAGAAACCTTTGCCTTCGATCAAACGCGACTCTTGAGGTCAGTTCTTCCTCCGCTCTTTGTTTCCCTAGTGCTTTCAGCTTTTGTCGTCCTTAGGCTAAACGTTAGAGTCGCCTAGGAAGCCCTCTGTTTTAAACCCTTCGGACATGTCTTCGCAAAGCGATTCTCAAAATATTTCCAAAGAGCCTTCGGTGCAGTCCGAGAGTATATCCGAGGTGGAATCCTCGAGTGAGACACTGTCGGCCAATAATGACCACGTGGTAGCTGAGGAGGTTCAAAACGCTCTTCGGGCCGAGATGGAGGCCGAAGACTTCGAGCAAGTGAATGAGGACGAGGAGCTGGCCCTCGCAATCCAAGTGGCCGAGGAGGAGGAGGAAAAGGAGAGGAAGAAGGTCACCATTGCCGTCCTACCTGCTCATAATGACGCCGATGCCGGAAGCTCCAGACCCCTCGATCCGGAACCCCTGAGTGTGGCTCCGGGCAAGAGGAAGAAGAAGACCAGGGGGCCCTCGAAAAGGAAACAAGCAGCTGTTGACGCCGGAAGGCCCGTAGGGATACCCGAAGGGCACTCATATCTGAACACTGCTGCTCTAGAGGTGAGGACGAAGGCCACACATGCGGAGTACGTGGCGACACAGTTCTTCGTTGGGCCTTCGGCACAGGTGGTGGAGCCGGGGCCGAATGACGTGCTTCTTCACGCCCCCCGCCGGCTGTTTCGCGGTGCATATCCTGTCGGTGGAGCTGGGCCTCCGGTTCCCCCTCCATCCCTTCGTGCTACAATATCTCCGCTTTGTTAAGCTCGCCCCTTGCCAGTTGACTCCCAATAGCCACTCTTATCTGGCGGGGTTTCTGTCCCTATGCCGGGAGAGGAAGGTAGAGCCTTCTTTGGACCAGTTCTTCCTGTCGTTCAACCTTTGCCGGGGAGGGCACTCTAATGCCGGGGGGTTTGCCAACTTGCAACAGATCCCCGAGTTCAGACTGTTTTCCGAGGTCCCTTCGTCCCACAAGGGATGGAAGGACAAGTTCTGCTATGTTCGAATGGCGGAAAATCCATTCGCCGCCCCCCTTCGGGACAACTTCAAGAGGCACCCGAAGGTCGGGAATGCTGCTCTTGTGAAGAATGGGAGGAAGCTGGCCGAGAAACCGGAGGGGTCAGACAAATTGAAGACCATTAAGGATGCTACCCTCCCGGAAGAACTCTTCAAGCTTAGCTTTCGGCGGTTCCGCTTGATGGGGGAGGCTGATGAGGAGTACCCCCTGATAGACAGGGTTTATGAGAGCGCCGAAGGTGATCGCCGGGGGCTTCTAGTTGTGTACTTAGGAATTTCTTGCTTTTCTTACTTCATTGTTCTGTTCTAATATTGGAATGCTTTTTTGCAGGCCCCGAGATGGACGCGAAGAATTTCGCCAGGCTGAAGAAGCAGTTGGCCAAGGAGCCAAAAAAGAAGGAGGCTGGGTCACATAAGCCCGTTGATGAATTCTTCCGCAAGGATGAGGCCGCCCAGGCCCAAATCGCCGGGACCCCCCTCCAAAGATGCCCCCGAAGCTGGTGCCATCAAAACCGAGGTGGCAAAGAGGAAAGCGCCCGGCAAAGGCGTCGTTCCCGAAGGCAAGAAAGTTAAGAAGTCTGTCAGTGCGAAGGGGGAGCCGGTGGTTTTATCCGAAGGTCATTCCTCTTCCGGCACGCCGGTGGTGATTGCTACTGCCAACGCTCCCTCGGGTCGGGGGGCTGAATTGACATGGCCTACGGAGAACGTGCAATTCTCCATTACGAAGGGGACCGCCATTATGCACGGCACCCTCAACCCGCCATTAAGTCCATATAATCCATCATCATTGCTACAACGTAGTGTTGTGGTAACTAAAGTTTAAAACATGAAAATGAATTACTATAATGTCATTACTACTCTAGTAACTAGTCATATTTTTGTAAACCATCTTTAATTTGATCATATTTTTGTAATTATTTCACCACAAGTCAATGGGTAAACATGCATCGGATTGCATTAAAAGATAAGAATATACAATTGAGAGGGAATGAAAGAGGTCAAAGCTCACCCCAAAAAGGAAATTACATTGGATCTAATATGTGGAATACCTGAAACATCAGACAATGCGACAATCTAATGCTATTAGGCTCCACTCGTTTGTTGTATACTTGTATTCAAATATTGAAAATGCTATTTGTACATGACAATTGACAAAGTGTACACATCATTTTGCACAACGGTCAAACTGTCTGTGTATAGATAATTGGATCGGCGTTTTGTGAAAAGAACCATGCGCTTTTCGCATAGACAAAAAAGAATTGAAATTGTCTGTGTCATAAACAAAAAAAATTCCTGTGGCACAAACAATTTGTTTTGTCCGTGCAAAAACCGGTTTGCTTCACAAAACGACGATCAAATTGTCTGTAATACAGACAATTTAACCGGCGTGTAAAATGGTGTGTATGTCCAATGGCATGTACGCGAAGCATTATTGTTCAAATATACTAGTATTCAAGTTTGCAAAGAATTAAAAGTCAAACTTATCAAAATGGTTACGATGGTAACACATAGTTTGTCTTCTTTTAATCCAAATTTCATAGAAATCAAAACAAAACATACAAAATACCTAGCTACAAGTTCAACTACATTGTATTAAAACCATAAATCACCCCTCTTAATATGGAACTATATATATGATAGCTAGTTGTATACTTGTATAAGAGGAGTTAAAACATATATACCTTGATGAGAATGAGAAGAACAAGAAGGATTGCTATGCACATCAAAACAATCGGCAGCTCTGGGGCTTACCGAGCCGTTGACCTGCTCTCCAGCCTCATTGCACTGATTCCATGCCTCGATCGCCACTCTCAGCCCATCCCTTTTCATCCCCGGATCACCGACGGCTGAGATGAACCCATTCGTTTCACCCTCCACGTCAGCAGTGACCAAGACCAGCAGAAATATGATGTAGTAATAACTCTCAAATCCTGCAGCCATTGATAAATAAACTAAAATAAATCAATCATCACGAACCCCTACTTCTATTTATATACCGCGTGGAAGAATATAGTAGAAATGAAATATTCCAAAGAAGTAAAATAATGCTTAGCTGTGGCTATATATCAGGAAAGCTAGCTAGTATACCAAAAGAACTGAGCTAGGATATTTGAAGCATTTAATTAATTGTAATATTTTAATTGGTTTATGTCGACAGTTCGAAGAACGGTATCGTGAAAGTATGTTCTATGTACCGTGTATGTAACTTTACTCACAAGGTACTTAATCTCATAGGCATGGATCAATTAAAATATTGCAATTGAACAATTTTAACATAAATAAATGATGATTTAGATTAATCAATATGTGCGATGCTCTCATTTTTATAGAGAATTTGACTTTAATTTGTACCTCAATATTTGGATGATATATTGATATTACACCCGTTTTCAAAATCATTAATGTGAGATCATCACATCAATCTAAAAATTGTGAAGGAGTAAACTGTAAAGTCAAATGATTATATAGTGAATTGGGATGCATACATTAATGATTTTGAAAATATGGTGCAAAGTCAAATATGACACGAAAATAAGGTGCAAAGTCAAATATCATCCAAAAATGGGGTACAAAGTCAAATTCTCTATCTTTATAATTACTGTTGCATTCACCTTTATTTAACTAGCCTGGTGTGCAATTATGTCGCTTTTTTTTACTTATGATGTACTATGTATTATTTACTTTTGTTTTCAATCCCGCCAATTATGTTTTATTAATTAGCCTCTACCTTACTAAATTTCACATTGTGTCTAATTTATAAATTTTAAAGAAACAGCAGCAGCACGCTTGGTGGGTTAAAGGTACGTAATTAAAGACATATAAATCGTATTTTCAAACTATAGGTTTTCTTGACTTTTTGATATTGAATTATTCAATACTCCATATTTTCCAAAAGAAAATGACTTTGAAAGGAAATATTCCAATCATGACATTTTATTATTCAACATACGACGTATAGTATGTGGTTAGAGAATCGGAATTGAAGAAGACTAAAACGGACAAAACAAATTGCAAGGGTGAAAACTTAAAGGAAACCTGTTTTTACGGAGATCTAAAGAATATTATTTCCGACTTTAAAAAATGAATATTATTTTCGAGGAACTAATTGAAAAAATTAATACCAAATAATGTCTCAAAGTATGGTCAACTATTTTGATCAACTCCACATTCTAACCTTAAAACTTACTTCATCTAACAAATTATACTGTCCTGCAACTTTGACACTTTGGGTTTGTTTGAAGCCTTGTAGTGATGGCCTCTAGCCTCTAGGGCGGTAAATACTGACCAGAGTTTTTTTTAATATTAATAAAATGAAATATATAAATAATTTACTATGATGCTTATACATAGAGTATTATTAGATGGTGATAAAATAAGATGTCTATGTAGAAAGTGTAAAATTGTCAAATTTCAAGACAGTGGGGAAGTTGGCCTGGTGGGTGGCATTTGTACACGAAAGGTTTTGTTAAAATTACTGTAATGAGACTTCTCATGGCGAACACTTCAATCTGTCACTTTTATCCCAAACAGTGGGTTCATCTTGTAACGTTCCTATCGAGATGAATGGGTGGGGAGACTATGATCAAATGACGTGGGATCATAGAATGGTACATGATATATTTGGTGCCTCAACTTCACAACTTAACCCCTCCCCGAACATTTAACAATCCTCCTGAAATTGTTAATTATATTAAGGCTCGCGCTTTTATGTCCCTCATGCGGATGAAGATCTGAGCTCTCATGTTCCTCATATTGAGGATTTAGGAGAGAGATTTCAAGATGACTTAAGAGCTATCAACCGCTTTATGTTGATTATGAGGGTTACTCTCACCTATTCATCATTTCTGAGTTGTTGAACATTAAAGTTGAATACAATCTCCGTGAAATTTGCATGTCTAGGCTATTGCAGTCAATAGGAGGAATGTTATAGTGTGAGCAAAGTTTTCATGCTACATATTACAACATGAAGCAACTAATATCTAGCTAGTTGGGGCTTCCAGGCCCTGTTCTGGAGAGAGGGTAAAGGGGCACATGCCCAAGGCCCATCCTTTGTGTAGGGCCCATAATTTTACATGTTTTATTACTCCGTATAATATAAGTAGTTATGATATACTGCACAAGTCTGTAAAATATACTAATCGCAAACTAACGTGATTTAGGGGGTGTTTGGATCTGATTCTTAAATTGCTTCTGCTCTTTCAAAGAGCAGAAGCAGAAGTTGGAGTGTTTGGGTAAAAGTGCGGAAGTGATTCTAGTGCCCCATTTTACTCCTAGAATCAGTTTTTGTAGAAGTTGGGGGAGACCAGCTTTAAAATAAAACCGAAGCAGATCGATTCTGATACTCTGAATTCTGATTCTACTTCTAAACACCCCTTAGCTATCAGCGGATCGATCCACCTAATTACAAGGCTTTTGGCCGACATGAGAAGGCGAACGGAAAGACGGAAGCATTGCCATCTTCTTCGACCATTTAGCTCTCGTCACTACAAGAAAAATGGGCATTAGCGACAAACAATTTGCGACCAGTATAGAATACAGTCGCAACAGATTGGTAATAGCTAGGGGTGGGCAAAAATACCGAAATATCGGTATACCGCACTTACTGTACCGAAAAATACCGGAAAATACCGAAATATTGGTATACCGTCATTTTCGGTACGGTATCTTACCGTACCGATCTATTTCGGTATGGTAACGGTAAATGTTTTCAAATACCGCGGTATACCGGTATAATACCGTACCGACTCTCTACTCAACAATTACTTTTAATTCTAATATATTGTAGAAATCCATTACAATTTTAAAGCCCAAAATTAATACTTAAGTTGGTTACAAATACAAAAATACAAAAATAAAGGTCCTATTTCTCAAACCCACTATAACCTTATAGGCTTCTACTACGCTAACCTTAATGACTAATGAGTAATGTACAAATGTCAAGAAACAAGTCCATCATGTTCCAAGAGCTTGCAAGTCGTGATGGCTGAGCCGCTAAGTAGCTGACGAGTGAAGAGAGATACACTTATGTGACAAGTGTATTTACATAGGGATTCCACGAGTCGAGACACACAACTTTGTCCGAAAGTCTTATTCAATTTTTAAAAAATTATAAAAATGACCGAATGCACAATATCATATTAGGAATAAATGATTTTATATCCATGTTGTTTGAATAGTTTTATTTTTTTTGTTAGAGATCACTATTGATTTAATTATATCTATATTGTTTAAGTTATTTTAGGAGAATGTGTAACTTTTTAATATGTGGCATGTTGAACTCCTTAAATATACTAATAATAGTTATTCTTCAATATTGAATTGACATCAATAGATTATAATTGTTATTTTGTAACATTTTAATAATAGATTCAATATGTCGATAGTAATAACGATTTAGTATATTTCGTTAGTCAATGATAATTTTTTGTATTGGGAGACATGAACGGTAATTTACCGATACCGTACCGTTACCGAACCGAAACTTCGGTATAACGAAATGCGGTATACCGAAACTTCGGTAAGGTAAAGGTATGCAAATTTTGCATACCGAAAGTTTTGGTATGGCAAAGGTATGAGAAAAAATATAAGGTATACCGTACCGAACCACCCCTAGTAATAGCGACCTCTTATTTATATGGTCGCAAAATGATAAGTTTTTCTGACGACCTTCTTCTTCTTCTTCCTCCTCCTCCTCCTCCTCCTCCTCTCCCTCCCCCTCCCCCTCCCCCTCCCTCCCCCTCCCCCTCCCCCTCCTCCTCCTCCTCCTCCTCCCCCTCCTCTTCCTCTTCCTCTTCCTCTTCCTCTTCTTCTTCTTCTTCTTCTTCGTCTTCCTCTTCCTCGTCTTCCTCTTCCTCCTCCTCCTCCTCCTCCTCCTCATCTTCTTCTTCTTCTTCTTCTATGGGTTCCTCCTCTGTCCACAAAATGAAATGCCCAACCCTATTGCTTTAGAAATTAGAAGCTTTTTTAACCTTTTTATGAAATGCCAGAATTGTTGCAAAAGATTTGTCAAGCCGATTTCCCTTTTTGGTTGATTTTGTGTGCTTGCCCGAAATTGTACATGTTTGTCATATATATATATATATATATATATATATATATATATATATATATATATATATATATATATATATATATATATATATATATATATATATATATATATATATATATATACATATATATACAAAAAAGATCAGGTCCAGCCCTCCCCGATCCAGCCGCCGTCCGAACTCCGCCGTTTGGGGCGGTTCGCGGTGGAATTTTTTGATGAAATTTTTTGAGCATGTTCCTCATCAAATCTAGTTTGTCCATACCAAATTTCAGCTCAAAATTCGACCGGGAAGACATTCAAATCATTTTTTGAAGTTGACTGCATTTTTATATGTATATTTTTGCGCAGTCAACTTCAAAAAATGATTTGAATGCCTTCCCGGTCGAATTTTGAGCTGAAATTTGATATGAACAAACTAGACTTGATGAAGAACATGCTCAAAAAATTTCATCAAAAAATTCCACCAGGAACCGCCCCAAACGGCGGAGTTCGGACGGCACCTCCCGTCCCTCCGGCTGGACCTGATCACTTCTCTCTCTCTCTCTCTCTCTCTCTCTCTCTCTCTCTCTCTCTATATATATATATATATATATATATATACAGTACTCTTCCGGTAAGGTATACCAGACCGGAGCCCCGTCCGGCCTCCTCCATTTGGGGGGCCTTCCCGGTGGTATTTTTTGCTCAAATTTTTTGTGTAGGTTCCTCATCAAGTCTAGTTCATCCATACCAAATTTCAGCCAAAAATTCAATCGGGAAGGTCGTCAAATGATTTTTGCAAGTTAACTGGTCCGGAAAATACATATTCCGGACCAGTTAACTTGCAAAAATCATTTGACGACCTTCCCGATGGAATCTTTGGCTGAAATTTGGTATGGATGAACTAGACTTGATGAGGAACCTACACAAAACATTTGAGCAAAAAATACCACCGGGAAGCCCCCAAATGGAGGAGGCCGGACTGGGCTCCGGTCAGGTATACCTGACCGGAAGAGTACTATATATATATATATATATATATATATATATATATATATATATATATATAATTTTCCTAGTGTGGGCCTTTGCTTTGGTTTGGCCCTTATGCTTTATGTTGCTATGTTGCTGCTGAATTTGAAAATGCTTAGTGCGGTTCGTTTCTTATTTTAAAAAAATGAGGTGTGTTCCTTGAGAAAATAAAAGAAATAGATTGATGAGTTTATATGTTGTGGTGTGCAGGGAATGTTTTC